CAAGAGCTCGGATCGAATCGATATTGATTTGAAACGATGGAAAATGAACATCTTATATTGCTATTTATGTTACAAATTGTGTGCACATTGTCAAAAATATTTTTTCTGCCCAAATTTCTCGATAAATATAAACTTCGCCTACTGAATATCAATGAAGAACCTAAACCACATCATCTTTTCATACAGTTATCAACAAATGGCACATCGATGGCTAACTATCTAGACCATTTTTTTACTTGTTATTGGTAATTAAGTAATTATGTAGATATCAATTTGATGTAAATGTACTCATAGGATCCTTAACTGATTACTGTTTAAGACAATCTTAGGTTGTTCAGATTATTAATTAACCTCAAATCAATTATTAGGATGTAAGATTTATTTCTTTTTCCCCTCTATCTTTAAATGTAACTTGGCTGAATTTCTCAAAAAAGATGTACAAAAAGTCAGTACTTTTGCTTAATTAAAATCTTGGGGTGAATGAACAATAAATTTTGAGATTTTATTTTTCTGCTTTTTGCTTAAAAGTCAGTACTTTAGATACTTTTCTAGTAATAGTTTTCAAAAGTCATTGATATTTTTAATATCCTCATGACTTGTAGAGATCTTTTAATTTTTAATTAAATACATAGTAACTTTTTGAGACTTTTAAAAACCAAATAAAGTTTGTAATGAATATATCAATACTTTTAGAGAGTATTAAAAAGTCTAAATTAAATAAATAATATTATTTAATATCACCAGTGCTACAAAATCATTCTAAATGGCGTAAAGTATGCTCAATGTAATGTAGAATTAACCAAATAATGCCACATTAATGTACAGGTGTTTAACATCAGTAATGCTAAATATCATTAATTAAATTAAATATCCCTACAAATTTTAAATCAATGAATCCCTCTTCTATTAAAAGAGGCAATCCTTCATGCACTGTTCATTTAGGACGTATTTTCCTTTCCCCATGTTATCCCTCTCTTCCTCTTTCTGGAGTCAAAAATGTAGGCAGTGAAATGTCCAAAATATTTGCCAACTTAACTTCTGCAAACTGACTTCCTCTCTCTTCAAAAAAGTAGGCAGTGAAATGTCAAAAAAATTTGCCGACCTAAGTTCTGCAAACCGACTTCCTCTTTCAGTTATTATATATTTTGATTTCAAACAACAAATAAATTATTTGGCTTCCTCTCACTTGGTCTCAGTATCGGTGTGAAGTGGAAAAACAATTGTCTAGGTTAGTTTTATT